TGTTATTGGGAATATTGTTTGTGCCACAAGAAGTATTTGATATCATTGAGTTGATTGTACCTGTCAAAACTTATTCTGGAATTGTGAATTGTGAATTAGCAAGATACCATATGTTTGGTGTAGATAAACTTATTCTGGAATTTTACCTGTCAAACCTCTTCGTTGAGTATGAACCATTATATACACTCAAAGCTGAAAAGATTTCCAGAGGGTCTCAAGCATAGCACGAATGTATTTTATTGACCGCACCTGTGAACGTGATAAAGACATTAATAATTTCATCAAATTTATGACTCTGGTTGGAAGGACTGTAAATATAAATTCATCTTTACATATCATTGCTTTTCATAAAAGCCAAAACCCGAAACCTCTTCCGTAAAAAAAAAGTTTGTTTTCAGGCGGGTCTAGACGGGTACGTCGCTAGTGGGTGTGGGGATGGATTTGAGAATGTACCCGCGTGGGCGGGTGTGGATTTAAAAATTTGTACCCATCATAGGTGGTGGGCGGGTGGTGGATTGAAAAATATTAGGTGGGTATGGGGATGGGGGAGAGGTATCCGCACCCGACCCGCCCGTTTGCCATCCCTAGTCGGGTGGAAAGGCAACTCCTTTCCTTTGAAGGAAGTCTTCGTGTCTACCATGCTTAATAAAATTGATTGCAAATTTTTTATGGGGGTCCTCGACTAAAAAAACAATCCATTGGGTGAAATGCGAAAAAATATGCGTCCCCAAGACTCATGCGGGCTTAGGTTTCTTTAACTTGAGACTTAGGAACGGATCACTCCTCAACAAGTGGATTTTTAGATTTGGAACTGAAACAGAATGTTTGTGGAGGAAAGTCATTGAAGCAAAATACGGTTTTGAGCACTCTTCGTTGCTTCCGAATACTATCCCCCCGAGGATGTCCTCGTGGATTTAGAGAAACATTACTCAACCCTTGTCCTTAGCGGACGATACCCTCACAAAAACTTCAGATGTGAAGTAGGTGATGGGGGGTCTGGATTTTCGGGTGGATCATTAGACCGTTGTCCCGTCTCTCAAAATAGCATTCCTGCACATTTTTTCAGTCGTCATTAATAAGACAAGAAATGTTAGTACTTTTGATTCAATGGTTAATGGTCACTGGTCTTGGAAGATTAAGATTATAATAGTTTTTTACGTTTGGGAATTGAGTATTTGGGTTTATTTTTGAAACATTATTAATAGAGCAATTGGTAGAGGCCCCGTAACAAAATAGATTATTATGGATGGTTTCACCTGACAGAAAATACTCCCCTAAAAGTTTCTGTGAATATACAGCCGTTGTTGGCCACGAAAAGGATAGAATATGGATTCTACTTTGGGCCGAAATAGCACCTCCCAAGGTTGAGGCCTTCGTTTGGAAAGTAATATACAAGCGAGTTCCAATGCTTGTGGAATTATCAAAGAGAGAGTCTCGAATCTAGAACTTTTTTTATGTATCTTGTGCAAAGAAGAACAAGAAACGGTTGAGCATTTGTTTTGTCGTTGCAAAGTGGCTTGGAAAATTTGGCAAAGATGGTGTTCTCTATGGAATTGCAACTTTGTATGCCCGAGCAATGTAAAAGAACTTCTCTTGTTTTGGGATAGTCAACCAATTAGAAAAGTTCTTAAACCAGCTTGAAAAATGGCATTCTTTGGCACAATCTGGAGCATCTGGATTCATAGAAATGGTGTACTATTTAATAACAAATCCTGATGCGAAAATCAGCTCTTCAAGCAAGCCATCTGCCTGACTGGCTTTAATTGCAAATGGTCTACCCTCTACCGATCTATATTATATTTCTCCGGTGGTATGATTTTCGATTCTTAGGGCTTCGCTGATAATATTTGGATACATGCTTATGTTTGGCCTTGTTCTCTGCTTTTTATGGATTTGTTAGTGTAGAATTGGTTGCATACTTTTATTCTGTTTTAGCCATTAAAACCTGTTGTTCAGTTCTGTACGTGGCTCAATATTTGGTTTGTTAGGCGTCTGAATGCTTTTAGCTCGTTGTGTTTGCTAGAATTGGAGCGATGGCTTAACATGTTCCGCTTGAAGTGTTGTACAACAATCAGACTCAACTATGCATTAGCTCTGTCACCAGTTTTGTGTTTTAAGTGTAGTAACAACAAAGCTCTAAAATGGATATTTCGAGCTCCTCAGATTAGATTTTGCTTTGGTTACTGCCATGCCTTTGCTCCTCATTCTTTCAGATTTCGAAGTTGCAAGATAGCTCGACGTCTTGATATTTGCTCTCTAGGTCTGGATTTATCGACTTAGTTGATATGGCCTGTCTGGTGGTAGTATTCACGTTTGACTACCTCTCCGGTTTGATGGAGTAGCTCACCGTTCTGATTGATTTTGGTTTATTGGTCTCTCAATGAGAGACGCGTTGTCACCGTTTTCTTTATTTGCATCGCTCGTAGAGCAATCTTTGGGCTTGAAGTAGACTATGTGCTTTTGGATGCTCGATGATTATGGTCCTTTTTTTACCAACAGGTGATATATAGTACTATCGGTAACTGTAGATCCATTCCTTGTCTAAAAGGAGCAATTGGTGTTACCATGATGCTTGCTTTGATTTCAGTCGAGTGATGTTTAGATTAATGTTTGCAAAGGGCATTGTGGGTGAGCTTGTGTTGGGAACTGTATTTAGGGATGGACCGTGGGATGCTGGGAGTGTGGTCGCACCCTAAGATTTTTCAAAGTATTTTAGACTTTTTTTTTGTATTTTCTATTAATTATCTAATTTTGCATCTTCTAAAATTTTTAATAAACTTCTTAAATTTACACCCGTAACGTAAGTTTATGCATCCGTCCCTTATTGCATTAGTTTTTCTAATTTGAGAGACTGTCATGTCGTATTCTTTTTCTTCAATTTAGGTTTAAGTAGATTTTTTTAACGAGTATCATTGTTTTGTCGTATTTTATATTATCCAAATTAAAGTAACACACATCCCTTTTCAAAAATAAAAAATTGTTGTAATCATTGTCTCTTTTTAATATATTTCAGTTGTTGGATTGAGACAACAATTAAACATAGTATTATGCAACCCATGTACATTGAAAATATAGGTTTTGCCTTGCATTATTTTTAAGAACTCCAGAAACCTAAGTGATGAGTTCGTTTTGAGTGTTGATAGCGTGGAGTGGATGTAAGCATTAGCGCATCAAAGTATTGGTAAAGCAAAAGAATACATGGTATTGATGAATACAAGTAAAAGTGCTTGTCAACATCATTCGGCCCAACTATATGAAATGATCACGTGCGACAGTTTTAATATATGAATAAAAAAATGCTTTTGATTTTATTATTATTTAAATAATAAAATCGGTAAAAAAAATTACCGAAAAAACATTATTATTTCTACCGGTTTTATTATTATTGTGCGCTTTACCGAGCTTGGTAATATATCTGGTAAAGTGCTACCGATTTTGTTATTTTTTCTACCGATTTTATTATTGTTGGGCACTTTACCGAAAATATTAAAAAACATTAATGTTTTAGGTAGAAATAATAAGATTTTACGTAATTTTTTACCGATTTTTTTTAAATAATAAAAAAACCGATAACGCCTTTTTTAACCGTATATTAAGGGTGTCGTAGTGTAGAACTTCCTCCAACTATGGGTTTCAAGCAAAAGGCAAAAAGTCATTTAGCATTTTTATTCCATTTTGGTCACTCAACTATATTTTTTTTCAAAATCATACATAACGTTATACTTTGGTTTCATTTTGATCCGCTACTGTTAAAAAATCAACAGAACTAATGATGTGGTATTACCTTCTAGTGACATGTCAGCATCATCATTAATTTTTTAACAGCGGGTGACCAAAATGAAACCAGGATGTAATGTCAGGCATAATTTTAAAATAAAAAATAGTTGAATGACCAAAACATAACAAAAGTAATAGTTTAGATATTAAACGTGTGATTTACTTATATAATAAATAAGTTTTGGGTATAACGGTGAGGTAGGTTAATTTGAATCTTTAAAATAATGTTGTTTATAATTACTAATTTTAAATATGAATCTTAAAATATATTTTTTATTTAAATAGGAGGTGGTTATAACGTAATATTTGTTCAGAAATATCTTGCTTCATTTTACAACCAAACGACAACTACCATGAAAGGTTTCTCAACCCCAATCCAATACTAATTAATATAGATTTCCTTATTGAGCTAAAAAAATGAGAAAATAAATTCCCAAGATAAAAAGAAAATCAAAATGTTGAACTGGCAACAGATTCTTTACCAAATTCTTGTCCTAGACATAATTACAAATTTACTTTTTTATTTGAAAATTCCATACACACACAGATGTAACCTTTTTTAAAAGGTTTTGCTTAATTTGTCATGATTATGGAAAAGGCACTTTAAATTAGGCTTAAAAAAGGAAGAATCTTTAATGTTTTCCACTTTTAAGATTTCCAGTAACATGTCCAGATACAAGGTCAACCTATATTGGGAATATTCAGATTTGATAACATAATTACAGGAAATGTCACCTGATCAGTATTTATTATTTTTCACATTAGTCCCTGAAGAATCTGGTTAAACTATTTGTTTAGTCCCTATTCATTGAATTAAACAGCCAATGACCTTGGTCAATGATTTTATAATGAAACGTTGGACCGACCATGATTTTCAATAATAAAATGATAAGACATCAAGAATATAGGATTTGAAAATATTTTTAATCTATTAAGTGGTTTTAGTGGTAAAAGGGGAGGTTATTTTTTCTAGAGATTATGGGTTTGAACGGTTTTGACGGTAGAGAGTTTGGTATGATTTCAGAAAAAGAAATGGTTAAATGACCAAAACGGGACCATAAGAATAGATGAGTGATTGAATACGTAGTTTATCCTAATTACTATGGTGTGGGACGAGAATGCAAAGAATCTGAAATTAGTTCCGCCTTATAGAAAGACCGACAAATGGTGACACTTGATGAATCGTATGAGGATTGAATTATAACCCTTTTGTTGGTTACTCGAGTTGGAACCGGACTTCTCTTGCTTCTCCTTGTTTCTCTCATATTAACTCCTTTTCCCTTTATCTTCTTCTCTGTTCTGCTTTTCTTCTTCAAAGGTATGATCTTTCATACTCTTTCGTTTGTTTCTTGTTTTTTTTTCTTTTGGCTTTCTTTCTATCGAGATTCTCCCCTGTTTCCTGGTGTTTGTTTGTTTTCATAGTTTTGCATGCATGCGAAACCAGCAGATTTATGGGTGCTTTTTGTTTTTGAATGTTATCTACTCTGTTTTTAGGAATTGGAGGTTGAATGCCGGAAATTTCTTTTATTTATCAAGGTGTTTTCTTTAGTTCTTAAGATGCTTGCTATAATGACTCGGTTTTTGTCTATTTTGCTATTGTGGTTCTTTTCGTTAACTTCATGATATACAATCTGATTGTATTCATCTTCTTCCTAAATTCGAATTCATTTTAAGCCTTCAAAGGGTAGAGAAAATTTTATCCAAAGAAAAGATGGTGGAGAGTGATGATATCTATACAAAGGATGGGACGGTGGATATCAATAAGAAACCTGCTAACAAGAAAAAGACTGGGAATTGGAGAGCTTGCTGCTTCATTCTTGGTATGACTTCAATCTTTTCTGATTTTATCCCTTCTTAATCTGCTCTGCATTTGTTGAACTCTAAAATCTCATCAGGAAATGAATGTTGTGAACGGTTGGCATACTATGGGATGGGAACGAATCTTGTCAACTATCTCGAAGAACGTCTCAATCAGGGAAACGTTGATGCATCAAATAATGTTACGAATTGGTCCGGAACCTGCTATATCACGCCGTTGATCGGAGCCTTTTTAGCTGATGCATACTTGGGTAGATACTGGACAATTGCTAGTTTCTCAATCATCTACTTCTTTGTAAGTTTGGCTTCAACACAGAATTCTTTCCTTTTCTAAAATTGTTATATTCTTGGAATGCATATGTTGATGGTATTTTATAGAGGCATTTAGTTATGTCAAGTAAAAGTGACTGTATTGGATACCTTGGTCGATGATTATCTGTTTTTCTTGAAGGGCATGACACTCTTGACATTATCGTCTTCTATTCCCGGACTAAAGCCATCGTGCAATGGAAACGTTTGCCACCCAACTGAAGGACAAGCTGCAGTCTTCTTTGTGGCCTTGTACTTGATTGCTCTTGGTACTGGTGGGATTAAGCCATGTGTATCATCTTTTGGTGCTGATCAGTTCGATGAAACTGATGAAGTTGAGAGAAAAAAGAAGAGCTCTTTCTTCAATTGGTTTTACTTCTCGATCAATATCGGAGCACTTATAGCTTCTTCTGTTCTAGTATGGATACAAATGAATGTGGGGTGGGACTGGGGTTTTGGGATCCCAGCTGCTGCAATGGCTGTGGCAGTTGCATTTTTCTTTGCAGGTAGTCGAATGTATCGCCTTCAGAAACCTGGGGGGAGTCCACTTACAAGGATTTGTCAAGTTATTGTTGCATCCTTCAGAAAAATCAACGTCAAAGTTCCGACAGATCCGTCTCTCCTTTACGAGATTGTTGACCATGAATCTATTATTCATGGGAGTCGAAAGCTAGAGCACACGGATAAGTTGAAGTATAATATTAATGCTCGACAAGTTTGCTTATACTAGTTTACGTAGGCAAACATGCTTTTTACTTGATTTTATTTAATTTCATCTTTTAAACTTTATAGGTTCTTTGACAAGGCTGCAATTGATACTCAAAATGACTATATCGGGGAATCATTAAGCCCGTGGAGGTTGTGCACCGTAACTCAAGTTGAGGAGCTGAAATCGGTTATCAGATTACTTCCGGTATGGGCATCAGGAATCGTCTTTGCTACTGTTTACAGCCAAATGAACACTATGTTTGTTTTGCAAGGCAACACAATGGACCAACACATGGGTCCGAACTTCAAGATTCCTTCGGCATCTCTCTCCCTCTTCGACACTCTCAGTGTTATCTTCTGGGCTCCCGTTTACGACAGAATCATCGTCCCATTCGCTAGGAAATTTACAGGCAATGATCGAGGTTTCACCACGCTCCAACGAATGGGCATTGGCCTTGTCCTTTCCATCTTTGCAATGATCACTGCAGGTATCTTGGAGGTTGTTCGACTTCGAATTGTCCAGAAGAACAACTACTATGATCTCGAGACTATCCCCATGTCAATCTTCTGGCAAGTCCCTGAATATTTTCTAGTCGGATGTGCCGAAGTTTTCACATTCGTCGGACAGCTAGAGTTTTTCTACGACCAAGCACCTGATGCAATGAGAAGCCTCTGCTCGGCTCTCTCACTAACGACCGTTGCACTAGGAAACTACTTGAGCACTGTGCTGGTCATCGCCGTGACAAAGATAACCACTCGGGACGGGAAGCTCGGATGGATCCCGGACAACTTAAATAGGGGTCATCTCGACTATTTCTTTTGGCTTCTAGCTATTCTCAGTTTGCTAAACTTCCTGGTTTATCTCTGGATTGCACGGTGGTATACTTATAAAAAGGTAGCCGGAAACATTTTAGCATAGGACTCAAACATGCCTTGGGAATTTGTAGACTTGATTTGCAGATTTCATTATATTATTGTTATGAATTTGTGGATTAGAATTGGATATGAGGTTTGTTCTCTTTATTTGGGATTATTTTTGGGTACAAGTTTATTTGTTAAATATGACTTCTAAAATTTGAATAATCAAAGTCAGAAAAAATCAAAATGACTAAAAAGGTAATTTTTTAATTATATTTTTTCCTGCACCATAAAAGGTGTGGATAAATAAATAAAAATAAGGACTAAATCTTAAAATCTAAAAAATAAAGGTCATGCCAAAATCTATCCGGTAGAGATAGATGACTTGTATTGTATGTTTCTCAGTGTACAATTTTCTACATAAAACTACGTATAGGTGTGGGTATGAAAATTTTGAGAATCAGTCTCAAATTTTTAAATGTTTCATATATAGAAAACAGATTAAGGGTAAATACTAGTATTAATAAATGTAATTAGAAAGAGTAAATAATTTAATAAAATTTATTTTTAAACATAATATTTTTCAATCTTATAAGATAAAGATGGGTATTTTTTTCAAATAAAATGACTGACAAAAATAACTCGAATAATACAGTGGAGAAATTATTTCTTCAAATAGAGTCTTTGTTACAATAAACACCGATGACGTATTGAGAACATGACGCCATGGTGTGTCGCATGAATTCAATTTTACGGTCGCATGGAAACCATGTCTTCTTTGGGCTAACACATCATTGCATGGAGCATGCTTTTCGAATCATGTTGCTGCCTCTACCCAAAAACTATATCTCAGCAAAAGTAAAATTAATCAATGGTGTAACATCACACAATATTAGAAATTATCTCAAATATTTTGTAGCACACACAATAATTTTTTCATCTACATACGATCTCCAATTAAATTATAAAATTAAAATTTATAAAAATTAATTAAGTAAAATTATAAAAATAAAAATAAATAAATAAAAATAAAATAATAATTAATAATATTATATATACCTCTCATTTTGTTATAAATATTGATCGTCAACCTAAATTCTTTAATATTATTATGCATCGACCTCGTTCTTTTTATTTTATGCCTCTATTTATATATCAAATAAAAAATATTTGTTAATTATTTAATCAAAATAAATAAACTCTGATTTTAACTTAAAATAGAGAAATATTATCTTCTTGCAAGAGGAAAGTCAACTACAATTTAACTAATTGGTGTTAAAAATAAAAGTATGTATTAAACCTATGATTGTAGCAATATCATACATCCACCGATTTTTACTCTATTATTATTATTATTTACAATTAATGACACCTTACACATCTCACTGTACAATAATATCAATATTGTTGATCCCCAATTATATTGACGTAATCTCAAAATTTCTCAACAGCGAGAGATACTGCGTGTGAACCAGATTATCAAATTTATCCAGTATCAAAACTCTTCCAATCAACTGCAATATATATGCTCGAGTTGCATATAGAATTTTTTGTAGGGTATTATTTCATTGGAATTTAAATTGATTATGCAACCAAAATAACCTCAAACATCACCCTTTTAATTCTAGTTTTACTATCGTCTGCCCAAAATACTCATTCTGAAGTACTTCTACATTATCGTAATCATTTTTTAGCACCACTGACATCCTATCTGATTGGTCATATTTCCCATTATCTTTTTTTTTTGTTCTCTTCAGGAATTTTCTCAAAAAATTATTCTCTTCAGGAAAATAAATTTTATACATGTTTGGTTAGATATTTAATAAAATAAAATTAAAAAATAAAAATAAAAAAGTATTCTCCACCATCACCAGAGAGTAATGAGTGGCAAAAGGACAATTTAATCGAATCAATTGCCCCACACAGAACATACAGCAAATACAAATAAGAGGCTCCCCCCAATTAAACCAAAAAAAACAATGTATAGAATGAATAATATTGACGTTTGACACTGCAGCTTTAAAAGGATATAAAAAAGCCTCATTTTGTCCGATTGAACCCTAACGCGACATGAATCAAACAATCTTAATAACCGAAAAAATGATTGTTATTTTTAGATATCGCGGGTTTAAATACGTCATCTATAAGAATGTTTAAACATTTATTATCAAATAATTGAAAATCTTTCGAATAGATACGATCATCACTTATATTGGAACATAATTCTTGTACATTTCATTTAACAAACCATAAAATCATCAAACCCCATCGAACCTTCACCCTAACCAGCACCCAGGCTACTCACAACACCCAACAAGCAACAGTAGAATAAGAGAAAATGATCTATAACCTGTATCATTTTTGTAAACTACATACTCTAGATGCAATTTCCACAACTATGTCAATTCAAAACTCACAAGTAACATTATTATTTTCAAATGAGTTATATAATCAATAAGGTTTGCAATTGATTTGGACTTATAAACTATTTTCAAAGGGTGATTTTGGTGATTAATGTAACCATCATGATTTGTCATTAACATACATGAACCCTAAAATTTATTCAAGGTTTGGAAGAATCCTTACCAAAATTGAAACTAGAGAGGCATGGCTGAGATTAGTTGCTAAACGCTCAGGGTTTAAGTAACTGAGCTTGGACTCACAAATGCTTAAAGATTTTTTTTAAATAAATTCTCTCTCTATTGATCTTCAAGGTATCAATAATGGAAGCTAAAAGGAACTTGGAGGAGATGAGAGAATATCTTTCCTTTCTTCTTTCAGTTCAGTTTGGCAAAGAATACATAAAAATAAGTGGTTTCAACTATTAAACATTACATACTAACTATGTTATTTTCCTTCATTTATAAAATCCAATATTATGAATCAATGACACATACCCTGTTATCAGGGACGGAGACACTATGGGTTTGGAAGCCCAAGCCAAAACTTTATGTTTTTACATTTAATTTATATATATAATTTAAATATTTATGGGATAATTATGAAATTGCCCCTCAATTTTAGATAAGTTATACTTTACCCCCCTCAAGTTGAAATCCTGACTCCGTCCCTGCCTATTATTAATCCATCGATTTCCATTTACCCAGAGTTTTGGAAAAATATCCATGCAATGCTTATTCTTTTACCTTTAGTTCAGTTTGGTCTTTAAAATTTGAATATCACTTTCCGATTTTCATTTTAAATCCCTTGAGTAAACGACTTTTGAGATTTTCTAAGTGGTCACTTCATATTTGTTTCCTCATTTGGTTAAAGGCTTGTATCTCGCTCTTAGACCATTGATAACAATATTAAACCCTTTTCCTTACAGCTACAATCCAAAGAATGTTTGTAACTTAGACATGAAGGCAACCGAACATTCTACCGGAAAGTGTAAGACGTTGAGGGGAGAGATAATAAAACTCGTCGATAATAAGATACTAATACGTGAACAAGTAGAATAATGGAAAACAAACTCTGGGCAGAGTGAACTATTTGCGGTAATTGAGGGATTAAATGGATTATTTTTGGAAATATATGGGCATATGATATTGTCATGATACATTAATATCTTCGTATTTATGTTTGAATTGTATTTGTTAGGTCCTCTTCTTAGTAATATGAATTGTTTTGTAAGGGCTTCTGTTAGGCCCTCTTCTCAGCAGAGCATAAATAATTGGTACGTGCAAAAAATAAATAAATTCAGTTATTTTTTTCCTCGGTAAACAAAGAAGTTAATTCTGAATATTTGTCCATTTGAGAATAACTCTTCTACAGAGATACTTATATGCATGAGTTGATGAAAGACATTTTTTTCATTATTTCCTTCACATGAAAAATACTCAGTATTGTCTCCATTTAAGCCTAAAAAGTTTATTTGGACTAAATTCTAATCAGGAATCAACCTCCACGCTACAAGAAATGAATCTCTCCAAGATAATTTTGATGTACAAAAAAATCTTTAGAAATAAATATAATATTTAAAACATCCACAATTTAAGTGTTTAAAACCAAAAATTATTATAACACTAAATGCAACTTCTTATACCCAACCCGGATATTAAGACCAGTTCTAGATGTCCACCTAAAAATTTCAAATTATCATACATTTTAGATATTTTCTTTATACTTTTTATTGGTAATTTGTTTTTATCTTCTTAGAATTATATAAATTTATTCCCTTTTAAAATTTTAAAAAATCATCTCCCTAACATAAAATAATACGTCCATCTATATTAACAATGGTCTTCAATTAAACGGAGCAGAGATTCTGTTTTACTATTTCAACTACTCTTTGCGATAGTCTCTCCGCGAGTGTTCCTAACAATGGTTCGAATGTTGAGCCGCCTTCAACTTTACTTGTGGATGAAGCAACACCGCTGGTGGAGTTATTTTGTACCACTTTGGCTATTGCATTGATTTTTCCAGTAATTTTTGGCACAAGCTCTTTTGCTTCATCGTATAATTGAGCTCGGGGTCCACTTGAAGACTCTTCCATGGAAGTTTCTGTTCTTAATTTCGTAAACAACACGAAAACATTCTCGGCTGCGATGTCCAGCCTGATTAATGCTTCTTTACATGCTGTTATTGTCTCCAGTACTACATGTTCATCATGTTGCTTCAGAGCCTCGGATTTTTCTTCAATGGTTGATGAACCTTCTTCATCCTTTTCATCATGAGAAAGAGAACAATTTAGGCCCTGTGATATGGCTAAAAAATGTGAAATACAAGTCGGCTAAGATAAAAGTATAGTTGAAACATTAGATACGATACAAAAACATTGTAATATACACAACATCATAATCAACATGACTCGACACATTTAAACACGAATTGAATGATCTCAGTAATAAAAGAAAATATTGTTCTCCCTAGAGAACCCGAGTTCGAGTAACTAGGTCTGCAGAATATGTGTGCGTTGTCAATATCTCAAAATAAATTTTATGGCACAGCAGCGATAAACGTACCTGATCAATAGAGCCTGCTACTTCCTCCAAAGTGATATTGGTGGGCGATTCGTTCTTTTGCATGGACGTGTTAAAAAGTCTTTTGCAGCCAACTAAATAATCCCGCCGTACAAAATATTGCGAAGAGTACCTTCTCATAGTCGATGATTGCCTTTTCTCAGCCTGTTAACAGTTAGTAATAAGACTGAAAGTTTTGGAGAAAATCAGCTAAAAGAAAAAACTTCTTCCATCTTTTCTGTTGTGGAGAATTTTAATCGTCTCAAATGTAAAAACAACCATAGGGTGCATGAAAATAGCTTCAAGGTTCAATTACTAAAGTTTTCTTTGATCTTATTAGCTGCCTGAATTTGGCTTCTTGGTTTAAATTGGTACACAAACTGGACTTTTTGGTCCAAATTGGTACTTACCATAAATTACTTCTTAACCAATTTGAATCTTGAAGCCAAGTTCAGATACCAAAAAGTAAGTTCAGGTACTTAATTAGATCAAAAAAAGTTTAGTTACTAAGTTGAACCATGAGACCAAGTTCAAACACCTAATTGGACCAATAATAATCTAGGTTCAGGTACCAAAATGTAAATTTACCCCAGTTTAAGTACAAAAAGCTACATCAGTTTTCAGTTTTAAGCTGTAGCTTATTGGGCCTAAGGCGAAAAGTACATTGCCTGACCCAATTCTAGCTACCTCTGAGCCCTTTACTCCCAATATTCTGAAAGAAAAAAACATTTTGAAACTTTCAAGTTACTTTAAAAAAAGAAAAAATAACCCCAGTAACGAATACTATCGCCGCCGCCGCCGTCCGTCTCGTCTCGGGTCGTCTCGTCTCGAGTCGTGGTCGTGATCGTGGTCGCGGTCGTGGTCGTGGTAATACGTGTCTTCGACACGTCCGCGCGAATACTATCTTTTTAGAGAAAATTCTTAAGAAACAAATGCAATACCACCAGTCGTTGCGATTTTAGACTATCGCAACGAATTTGGAATAAATCGCAACGCAAACTTGGGCTATCACAATTAATTTGGAATAAATCGCAACGCGAACTTGGACTATCGCAACGAATTTGGAATAAATCGCAACACGAACTTCGACTATCGCAACGAATTTGGAAAACAACAACGCGAACTTCGACTATCGCAATGAATTTAGAAAATCGCAACGCGAACTTGGACTATCGCAATGCGAATATGTAAATCGCATTGCGATAGTCCAAGTTCACATTGCGGTAGTCGAAATTCGCATTGTAAATTTGGAAACTGATTTGCGATACCGGAGATCGCGTTGCGAATTATTGATCGCATTGCGATTTAGTTGGTCATTTTGGCAAATTCAAAAAAAGTTTGTTAAAATCGTATATTATAAGACATTTTTGGTTACTGAAGTTATTTTCTCTTAAAAAAAATACCACGCAGGAAAACTAACCTTGAGTGTTGCAGATAGGTTGCCAAAATGTTCCTTGAACAAATCACTGTCCTCAAATTTCACATAGAAAGCATTAACATCCATAGCACTTTGATCTGTTTTATCAGAATAAAATTGCTCTATCAGAAACCTCCTTGTGGTTAACTACTAAGACAAGTATGTTCTGAGGTAGCAGTCTTACCATCATCAATGAAATGGCCCCTGTGACCGAAAGAATGTTCACTCTCACTTGGCATCTCAGCTAGGCCTTGTACTGCAAAAGATATACCAAAAAGGTTAATAATGGCTCATCTTAGGCTAAGATTAACTTATAGTTAATTTTCCCCTTTGTAACATATGGATCCATTAATTTTCCTTCTTGACATTGCACTTTAATAGTATCAAGTCCCATATAAGCATTTCTGTCTTATATTTTCAGTTTTATCCTGAATTTCATGGGAATCCTTCCATCATAATGAATTACAATTGACCTTGAGAGATTTGTAGCTATTTCTTCAACTTTGCAGTCATTCAATAGAGCAATAAAAGAACTTTGAATTCGGGGGGGGGGGGGGGAACTTGGTTTACCTAGTTTTGGTGATGACACTGGCATCTTTACGTCTTCAAGATTTTGCACCTCTGGGGAATTTAGTAGATCCAGATGTACATTGTAGACAGTGAACCAATGATCTTCCGCTGCAGAGCTGCAGAAAGTTAAAGGACCATGAGGCATTAGGATACGAAGTTAGAAACTAATGGTGAGTGCTAACCTAACATATGCAAAGCAAAAGAGATGAAATTATTTAAACCTCACCGAACTAGTTTATCTGGTGATGCAGGACTTAGGGTTTCAGCAGTAGCATTGGAAGCACTTCTGCATATGTCACTGAGGTACGAATTGCTACCTCCTGAGCATCGATCAGATGCAGTTTGGTGTTCATGGCTCAATGAACCGTAGTCCCCACAACTGCTAATCGAATGTGATGAATTTTTGGGTCTACTTGCATTTGCTGGAGGCATCAACCGAAAAGATAAACAAGGATCAATGAAATGCAAAACCATTTATCAGTGGCTATTTTTTTGGTACAAGAGATTGTGAAAATTCTCCGAATTCCTTTTAGAAATGAAGTGATCACTGATCAGTTTATACCTAAGAATAAATCCATCTAAAAATGAAAGTAATATGGCTGAAAACAGCCGAACTGAAACTAGGAAAGCAATCGTGTCTCAGTATACATGGTTATAAAAACACGAAGTATAACCCTCTTTTATGGTAAGTGTTCATTTAAACTTTCCAAACACTAAAGCCATATAGGGATCCATCATTCAGACTATCCTTAGAACTTGATGGAAGTTTCCGGTGTTCCAAAAACCTTGACGGTTTCATTTACTATGAGACTACAACAGAAAAATTGGACGAGAATTATTATTGATCCTATAAATGAGGTCCGGGAAACAACTTTTCTTTTCTTTTTCCTTTGCTTTTTTACGTTGGAAGTATAAATGCAAATCATGTCAAAGTCTACCATCAATAATACCTGAGGTGAAGTGATCTCAAGATTTCTCCGGACAAAATCAGTGCTTGTTACTTTTTTTGCCCATTTTGGAAGTCTAGAAATGCTTAATCTAAATGCATAAGTCTCTTGGGAATCCCATCCATGGTAATTCGCTCTTTGTTTATGTTGGCTGCACCTCTCAGTTAGCAATGAAATCTTGGAACTACATGACTATTTTTCTCTCCACAAATTGTGGTTCGAGTAAAAGCCACTGGCATGTATAAGGTTCTTGAAGACAATAGAAGAGATTTTTCCTTCACTTTCTGTAGCATCCTGGAAGCCAAGCGAGTGGGAAGTTTCCACACAAAAATACAACCATCACCACCTACCTGAATGCATCATAAAATTGAGAAGAATTTGAGTGAATGAACATACATACAAGTTACCTTGAATTAGTTCAAATGCAATCCAGGCGTGATACATGATGTCAAAAAAAGATAACTAAGCATGAGAAAAACTTACAGAAACTATATGCTTGCAATCTGGGGAAAAAATGACACCAGTCACAACTTCTCCATGTCCTACAGCTTGGGCAATCATCTCTCCACTTGTAAAATCATACACATATAGATTTGTTCGAAAATGAACATACGAAATAGCTTCCGCTAGGGTCCATTGTAACCTGATGCACATATTTATGTGTCAGTAGCAGAAATGTTGATGGTCACGTTCTACTGATTATTAACTCAAAACTCATAACTCACCTTTATCGGGTCACCCAAGTCTTTGTGTTGCTTGAATGATCTAATAAGCTTTCCACTAGAAATGTCAAATATATTTATCTTCTTATCCTACAAGTAAAAAGTAACCACATAATCAATTCAAATGAGGATTTCAAACATGAGGCATCTGAAAATTATGTAAAGCGGTTAACTAGAGTTTAGTTTTTAATGTGTAGTATTTAACCATATGATGGATTTAAGGGGCCCATATCAGGAATTGAGGTATCCCTTGAAGCTTTCATTGGAATATGGTAATTACTCCCTTAGAAACGACAATATCTTACCTGCCCAACAGTGACAACAACCTCCGTCAAGGATCTACAGACATATCATAGACAGTTCCGTTAGATGCCATTTGATGGTGACGACGAGAAACCTTACATCTGATATCAGTTAAATGGACATCACGGAACACAAGGGACCTATGAGAGAGAAAAAAATAAACACAACTTTAGAATGAGCCATTTGGACGTCCATGGTGAGTAATCATTTGATAAAAGTAAAAATTGCAAGATGAAATAATAAACGTAAATCACAACTGTTTGATTTGTTGAAAGTAATTTAACTAATTAAAGCTACTTCAAATGCCATTGAAACAGAATTAACTAACAGGGTGCAACCTAAATAACAGTGATTTAGTGTCACTTCCTCATTTTATCAAGTAGTCTACTTGTCAATCAAGCCATAAAGCAAAATACCTATCTGCACTGCAACTCAGAATCTTACATCCATTACAAGCAAGTTGAACAGAAGTCACGGCAGCTGAATGGTCATCAATACTTTCAATGAGCTCAAAATTCCTGGCATGAAGGACATTAGATCTATTAGCATGCAGATCCAAGAAGCTTCCGTAAATTTCAAACAGAGAAAAACAGGCTTTAAGTAATCAATCAAAACCTTTTAACCTCATAAAGATGGATTATTCGATCTCGACCCCCAGAAGCAAGCAAGTAATGATTGTCATTTCCTTCAGAGTCTATATCCTTTGTACTTGATAAGCTAAAACTCAATGAAAGAATCTCTGCAACATGAGAATCCTGTCAAACAAAACAATGTAATTGTAAGACTGACAGAATTTAGTAAACTAGTCGCAAAAATAGTTGAAGAACTCACAGTACTATATTCTTTTTTAAACAAATTATCTTAAGTATTATGATGGGCACAGGTTCACCTTAATGCATGTATACTCAGAATTGTGAAGATCATAGATATGTAGGTTTCCCTCACAACCACCAACAGCCATGTATTTTCCATCTGAACTAACTGCCATTGATCTCAAGCCTTGGTTGCCAAAAGATGTATCTCCCGTGTTGATCTCAAAACTTCCAGCAGTCACTGCTTCAAGTAAGATAAATAAATAAAATCCGAAAGTTTTGAGATGGAAAATACAACTATAAATCAACTTACTGAAACACATTTAGCAGCAAGAACATGAAAAACTCAATATAAATCAGTTCATAATAAATCCAAAATAGATAAAGTGCCTGGAATGAAAACTATATAAATCTGCACATTTTAACATGTTTCCAACTTATGTTGGTACCTATTATATCTTAGGCCTTTACCTATATTAATACCCTCTGATTCAGTGATCAAATAATTATTGTCAGCAGTATCCCTTGATAAATCAGGCTGTGGAACAAGATCCCATATCCTAACTGTGCCGTCAGCTGAACAGGTTGCAAAGGAGACTCCTCCAGAACATCCCTTTGCAGCACACATAAGAGATGGATCGTGCATTTTTTCACAACAGAGATTCTTGATATCCCATATACAAGCTGAATGAAAAATAAGAGCAAAGGACCTGGTAGCCTGGAATACGTCTAAGGAGAAGAATTTAGTTTGTAACTAATTTTCTTATAGAATCAGATGACAGGTTAAGCTTTCTTCCATGGTACAAATCAAAAAATCAAAAACTGAATATCACTAATCTTATATGGAACAATCACCTCATTCTCTTGATGAAAATTCCATATATGGGGACTATGATCTCCATAGACAACAACTGCAAAAGAAAAAAATTTGAAAATTGACCATTATGTGTACAAAAAATATGGAATATCAAGAGCTAAAAGAACAAATTGAATTAAAAGCTCACCAAGCTTTTCTGAGATGAACTGACAAGCAACTGCATGAGGAACAGTAGGGGCTGATGGAAAATTATTTTCACTGGGTTGACAGCAAAAAGGATCAATTTCTCCATGGCATGATTTGGCCTTAGAGTACAATAAGCTTCCCACATATCCAAGATTCTGAACGTTGAAGAGTTGTACTTGTCCATTGCTACATGCACAAGCAATTAACTTGCTGGATGCAGATAGTGCAAATCCTTTTTCAACCTGAAAGTTAATTGTTGAATGTACCAAACTCAAACATGAACCTAATTGCAATAGATGAGATGTACGTCATGCAGTTCTACACACCAATACCACATTTTGTAATTTAGAATTGTGGTGACTACTTTCAAGCTTTGTCAGCAAAAACAATCTACTAGGTTATAGAACCCAAGCCTCCCTTACCATAGTAGCCAATCATGTTAACCTTACAGTAGAACTAAATTTTTTATCAGATCCAAAATTCAAAACTGCGGAAAGATAACTCCTTAGTGTGCTGGTTCATTTATATTAAAATAAACATAATATTGGAGTCAAGCATACCTTTAAATCAACCGAATTTCTTAATGACAGCTTGGAATCTATGAGGCATAGAACTCCTGTAAGTAGGAGGAAGAGTATTGAAATTTTTTACTACGCTTTGGAAAATCTAATCAATTTAACTCTTTAAATACAATGTCAAGCTATATGAACCTGCATCAGTCAGTGCGTACATTGGAAAGAGCTCAGCAACCTGATCACGATTGACAACACTACCCCTCTTTCCACATGGCGGACGAGACAGATATAAATGAACTGCCTTTCTGAGGACCAAGATTAATTGGCTTCGATTGAATAGACAGTGACACTGTCCCTTTGCTCATGCGAGTCCTTGGAGATGCACCAACTGCCCAGAATTTCAGGTGCTTCTTTCCAGCAGTAACAATGTAATTCGCATCTGAAGAGAAAGTGACAGACGTAACTGTAGAACTTGATGAACTTGCTTTAAGCTTGGTAACCAAAATCCCACTCCTCCAATCCCAAAGGTAAATATACCCTCCAACAGAAACTAGATATTTCCCTACAAAAACCAATTAGAAATTTAAAATGGTCAAATATAGGTCATGTGAATATAAGTATAACCACGAGATTGATTTTTCATTCCACTGATATATAGTAAGTTAGTAACTAACCATCAGGTGAGAAGGCAATGCACTCAACTCCGTATATATGACCTTTAAGCTCGGATATGAAGGCTTGAGTTACGCAGTCCCATACCAACACTGAAGGTTGAGGGCCTGATTGCAAAACAACATTAGATCCATACACATAGTAACAAACCACAAACATAAGTAATTTACCATTGCAGTATCAAAACCCAGTACACACTAATTATTAAACATAAAATATGATGCATTTACGAATAGTTATAATTAAAAAGCTTCTCGCTTCATATCACTGAAAAGTTAAGGTACTACCAGTTCAATATATACTTTTAAAATCCAATCACATCAAAATAGGAAGAAACCCCTATCCAGATGAAAGTAAAAGTCTCCAATTAAAATCATTTCGGTACCTCTCCAGCGGCAACGAAGCGACCGTCACGCGACAGGGCGACGCAGCACAAAGGTTTAGGTATTCGATGAGAGAGCATAAGATGCGATTGGGTACCAGATTTCCGCATCGTACACCACCGCAACGCAACCGGCGACGTAAACGAAGCTGGATGTTGATACGGTGGAAGCTAATCCGTTGGCGTTCTTCGTAGTTAATCCGATAATCTCTTTCAAAACCAGCTGCGATAAGAAATCAAAATCAGAATAGATTTAGGTATATAAGTCTACAACTCTTCGCCTAGTATAAACAAAATTTAGGATCCACTGGCATCAAAGCGCCACTTACCTTGGATGACGATGGATCTGATTTCTTGAGCTTTCGATTAGTTTTCATATTGAACTTGAAAGGAAACTCAGGGGGTGGGGGCAAGAAACAAAATGATAGGGACTAAGGGTCAAGGAAAGTTGTTATGTTTTGTTCGAAACTTCGAATGACTTTGGGGCGGGAAATCTTTGCAAATCAAAACAAAAAAAAAATTCACTTTTTGAAGAAAAAAAAATTATGCGTCATGAAAATGTAACACGTGTGATTGTATATACTTATGGATAAATTACGCTTATGGTCACTAAAGTTATCAATAAAATACAAAATTGTATTGGCATGTTAATAAAAATGATTAGTTATCTAATTTAACTTTAAAATTCTAGTAAAATTATCAATTTAATCTTAACAAAAAATCAATTCTATCTTTTTTTATAAAAAAATCTACATTTTATCAACTAACTCGGCATCAACATCACCAACCCTAGTCACTGAATCACCAAACCACTGTTAATAAATTCTTGATATAAATTTCGATTGCACCATTATGAGAAACCTTAGGTCTTAGTGTTGGTTTAGCCAACTTTAAACCATTCTTCATGATCTGTGGAATGTTGACAAAAATCTTTAGATCTCTTTGTGTTTTACTTTGAATATGCGACTCGAAATATTGATTTTTTTAATCAATTCGATTAAAAAAATTCAACTCGTAGTTTTATAAATTTGGAATTAAATCATAAAATTTTAAACTTGAGTCGAATTATAAAATAGAACACAAATAGCTCGAAATTTTTAGTAATTAGTAGATTTATTTTTAAATTTATGTAGAGCATCTCAACTTTAAATGATACATGCACTACAAGAAAATATACCTTTAATGACACACGAACGATGACACACGCTAATTTATGGCTTGCAAAAAATGTGTGTCATAAAAAAAATGTCATGTTTTTTAAAATCTGAATGATTTATGACTTACAATAATGTGTCATATTTAATAGTCATAATCCAAAAAATTTACAAAAACACGGAGTACAGTTTTAATTGTGTGTCGTCTATAAAAGTCTTAATTTAATTTCCCCCATTATTTTCATTCTTCCCGCTTCTTCCCCTCGATAACAAAGTGACGCCGTTTGCTTCCCCATTTTCTTTTTTTTTTTTTTCTCTTGCAACTTCCCACTGGTTTGGCCATTCACCACAATGCAGACGAGGGAGTCAAAATTCAAGGGTTTCCACATGTATTTCTCGTTCTCTATTCCAACATTTGGGGTTTTGTTGATTTCTATTTTGTCTGAAAATATTGAAAGTAAAGCAACTGCAAGATCGTCTTCTAAAGTTGTTGAATGTCGTTTTGATAGTATTTCATATGCTGGTAGAGCCGGTGATGGAAATATAGATTTTAGTTATTGTAACAAGGATTTAGACTGTAATAATTCATCTCATAGTTCAGTGCCAGTTGTAGTTTAGGATCCGGAAAGGTGCCTCTTCCCAGAAGCTAGACTTGTCAGTTCCTTCTATGAAGGACGGAGGTTCTGGCGGTAGTTCAACTATGATCCAAATTCCATCTTCACATTCTGGAAGTAGCAAGAGTGCCATTGGAGGCAGATCCGAGATTTCTCCCAAAATCCATCCCAAGTTAGAAGCAGATATTGAGGGCAGTAGCGAGAACCCACTGGATAAAACTGGTAAAAGTTTGAAGGAATATGAGTTAGATGAATCTGTGAAGTTACTGACAAGCAGAGTCTCCTTTGCAAACAACTTCTGGATTATGAATTGATGTCTCAAACATGATGTGAGTATTTATATTTTTTTTCTCTTTATGATGTATAAAGAAAGTGTGCACGTAGACATATGAGTTTCTTAGGCCTCACACTATGGAAGTTGGCTTTTAGCTTAATGTAGGATTTGAGAGTGAAGATATTGAGAATATCATATTTAATTGGTTTTCCATTTGCACTTGTAGTGCAGGTGCCATCTAGGAGAATGTAAGTAGTGATTATGAAATTCTGAAGTTGTGCGCTAGGTAGATCCTACTCTTTTAGGTGTCGTTAAATGAATTTAATGGGTAATTAGTGCTTTAAAAATGAAAGGAGGTCCTTAAACTTGTCAAATGGTTTAAGATTATTAACTGGGTTCCATCATAATTATATACTTAAAATAGAAGAGTTCCTTTTCCTTTTTACCTTGTAGGATCGGTACATTTGTTTTCTTTTTCTTTGTATTTCAGTTTCTTATGTCAAAAAGTTCTTCTGATTTATCTTTTCTTTGTTTTCTAAATTTTCTGGAACAGGTTAAGGTATGCGATATTTGTGGGGATGTAGGACGAGAAGATTTGCTTGCTATATGTAGCAAGTGCACCGATGGTGCATAACACACGTATGTGTACAAATCCCTTTAGCCATATGGTTGTTAGCAGGTTTTATTGGCATTTCTATTTAATTTTGTCTGTATCTATACTCAGTGATGAGTTTTATGTTATTAATGTTATTGATCAGTTATTGTATGCGAGAAATGCTTCGGAAAGTTCCTGAAGGTGATTGGCTCTGTGAAGAATAGAAGCTGGCTGAGGAAACTGAAAGCCAAAAGCAAGGTTAGTTTTCAAACAGAGAATAAAAATGACACCCAGACAAGATCATGTGCTGACATCCTTTTGCGATTGAATTTTCAAGGTTTGGATGCTGAGGGGAAAACGGAAAATAAACTTATCTCAAGTACACGTATCTTAAGTAAGAGACATTGAAAATCTAGAGGGTGCTTCAGCTTCAAAAAGGCAGGCTATTGATGGATCACCAAGATCATTGAGCCCCAACAGAGTATCTTCTTTGTCTCGAGAGAGTTCATTTAAGAACTTAGACAAGGGGAAAGTGAGGCCATCACCGCAAATTTCTCTTGGCAACCATTCTGGTAATGATATGCAAGAAGTTGTACGCTCTCTGACTTCTGGTCCACAGCTGCAAACACCAAAGGGTAAGTAAATTAATTTTGTTATCTTATCTAAAATTTTCCCTATGTTAATTTTAACATTGGCATATTGTTCTCATTGTTACAGGGATCTAATTGAAATGCAGTTCATTTAATACCTTAAATTCCAAACCTAAGGTGAAACTTGTAGATGAGGTTGTTGTTTTAAAAACGGGAAAGTGCTAGAGAACATGCATCACTTTATAGCGATGAACCTGCTAGAATGATGGGCAAATCAATGTCATTTAAATCCAGCAACTCTGGACGGTTAAATGTTGGGGAATCAAAATTTAAATTGCTATCATCTAAAAATCATCATGTTCAAGATCTGAAAGGATCAAAACAAGTTAAAGAGATGATATCATTAGAAAGGAAAAAAAATCTCAAAATCATACCTCTCTAGTTCTACTGTTTCGACACCTAAGGTTGATCAGAAACTGACAGCTCGCGCTGATGTAATTTCTCATTCATCTCCAATCAACCAACAGGGAAACTAAAGTTGTTCAGTCTGATGGAAGACCAAATACCTTATCAAGGTCAACCAGCAGTCTAGCTCGTAAAGGTGTTGAACATGCAGTATCTTCTGGTATGTTGTGACATTCTGATGCATCTTAAGAGCATTCTTCTTATTTTGCAGCTGTTTTGTCCACCAATGGAGACATTTCTTCTGAACAGAAATTAAACCATGTGAACCTGACGGAGGAACCCTCATCAAGTTCTTCACTGACGTTTGAGAGGCAACCTAGTAACATTAATGGAGATATGTCATATGGCCTATATCAGTTAATAGATTCAACAAACCAGAGTGAGAAATCAAGGGAGAGTTCTGTTAGTCAATCCTCCAAAAGAGTTCCATGTCTAAAATGCAAATGAATGGGTCATGCTGCTGAATATTGCTCAGTCTTTCTGGCTTCTGGTGCTGACCAGTCTGCTCCTAGAACCTTCTCCAGAGGAGATAAATAAAGGCAATAAGTTGAAAGCTGCAGTTGAGGCAGCTAAACGATTGAAGCCTGGAATATGTGAAAGAACTTCTCAAGATCAATCATCAGTTTGCAATAAGGCAAAGATTGTGGTTTCTGTTGAATTTACGGATGAACGGCAAGCAAATCTTTGCAATCAGGCTTCCACTGGTGATACGAAGCTGCTTAATTCACATTCCACTGATGCTGTCTCTGTAGTTTCTTCTGCTGGTGAACTTTCAATGAGAGATATACATGCCCCTCCTTCAGCCAGAACATCTGATGTCTCAAAGATGTCAGCCATCCTAGAACATGAATACATCTGGCAGTAGGATTCTTGTCCTTCTATTTAATTGTTCTCTTTTTTGGTTAAAAAGATGCTCCATTTAGGTTCTTTTTCATTTATTGCTTCAGCATACCCTTCCTTGAGGTTTCTTGAATGTGATATATGTTACTTTATGCAGGGGCGCTTTTGATGTGAATAAGCTTGGAAAACCTCCCGACTTTTGTGGTGGTATTCAGGTCCATATCTCAACATTGCATCACATAAAGTGCTGGAGGTTGTCAACACTTTTCCCCACAAGGTTTCCTTGACCGAAGTGCATTCAAAAATGAAATGCGGGGCACACGAGAGTGGCAGTTGGTTGAAAGAAGTGTTATTAGTTATTATTTCAAAGTTCTGGTTGAAATAAGTGTTATTATTCAAATATTTTTTCGGTTTATTTACAGATGTGAGTCAAGTTTTTGTTGTATTATTCTGAGCAGCTTTTGTTTTTAGGTAGATAGCTAGACACTTCATTTTAAAATAAAATTGCTGATTTTTGCCATTATTTTATAGGAAGGGGCATAATTCCATATTGTAGATCTGACCCCGAGCTTAATGATTGCCTTCAAGCTACTGAAACCCGTACTGGTTCTCTCAAAGTTGAGGAGGAAATGCATATAGATTATTGAGGCCCACCGATGTCCATCAGCAGTTGAAGCAGATTATTGATGCGTAAGTAATATCAATTATTGAAACATTATAGTATATTCTTTGATATATTTCATCAATTTTTATAGGACAATGAACTTGTACACTGCTCAAAGTGGATCTAACAAAAGGGTTAGCCTCAATTGGATCAATGTTTTAGTGAGAACTTGTTCGATCATTCCTTGTTTAAATTGCAACTTTCATTTTGACTAATCGTTTATTGTAAAATATTTGTCGTGTCCCGTCAGGGAGGTACCGAGTGTGGATATTGTGTTTGTAAGTTCATGAAAGATATAGTCGAGAACGGACTTGAAGTGCTTGTCAATAAAGAATGTAAGCAAACTTTTCTGATACACATCTGTCATATCATACATACACATTAGTTGTACAACTATCATATGGACTTGAAGTAAGATGTTATTATTAGAAATTAAGCTAGGATAACATCATGTCTATTCATATTAATAAGAATTGTCAAGCTCTTTTTATTTCTGCTGAAAAACTCATAGTTGGATGCTATTCTAGACTTCTAGTTATCACTTTGTAGTTTGTATGTTCTTTTTTTTGATGATTCACGTTTCTGTATGGAGGTTTCGTTTATAATTTGAAACAAACTTAGAAGGGTAAACAAACTTAAAAATCTTGTGAGCGAAGATTACATTGATGGTAAACTTATTGTTAGTTGCTTCTATTGATAGATCCTATTGTAAGTAATGACTGAATTCTTGATTCTAATTACGTTTTAAGCATATGTATATCACATATGAAAAATAAAAGAAATATATATGTATTGTATATGATTATAGAAAATTGTTTAAATTGAAATCAAATAGTAACATAATAATTATAAATACTTAGTATTAAATTTAAACATAAACTTAAACAACTCGATTCGACTCGGATTTTATAAACTCGACTCGAAATAAATTCAAATGAAATTTGAGTTATAAAATAAGACTCGTCAACTTCAATAATTTAAATTTCTTTAACTTGATTCGACCACTCACCAACCTTGAGTTTTGTAGCAAGAAAAATTCATCTCCATTGCCTTTCATTTCCTTTGATTTTGGAAGATTCTCCAAACTCTCTAGCTATTTAGAAAAACAAGAACATTGCTCAAAACATAGCTTTACAAGCTGAAAAAATTAAAATAAGATTGACAATGCATACAAAAATAGATGTAGAATGGAGAATTTCATTTTATAAGAAAAACAACACCCACTAAATTCGGATTTTGCCATGACACCATTCTTAGAGTTTGAGCTCATTAGAATGCTATTGAAGGCAAAAAGATTATTACCTTGGGTATCTTTATGAGGGGTAAAGTGCTTAAGACTTGATTTAAAACTTAGATCTTGAAAATGGAAAAAGAAAGAAAAAAAAATGGAGTGGTTGTATGGCATAAATTACGAGTATTTAAATGGTCGAATCGACCTTAGAACCGATTAAATGTCTATTAACCGAATTAACCAAACTTTTTTCTTCACACGTTAATCGAATCAAACTTTTTTTAAAAATCATTGTAACACCTTAATCCGATCTGACCTGTAATCCAAAGGATTAGAATATTACATGGAACCACCTACGTGGCTAAACCTTCTTTTTTTAAAATTCATTTAGACATTCATAAGTTCAAAACATAAATAATACGAAGTATATGTTCACAAAATATGGGAGCTCCCAACGATAGTCTCCAAATACATAAAGTTAAAAATAGAGATTACAACTCGATATTACGTAAGTTTCTATGACAGTACATGCCCACTACAATACTCGAGACGTACTCTGAAGAGATCAAGTTTGGAAATCCTGAAATCCGGCGACGAGCTCCTGGAACTGGCACCTAAGGACCTGCACAAGGAAAACATTCCATACGTTGAGCTCACTAGCTCAATGCCACACAAATAACCCTACTATATTGCATGCATTCAACATATAACATGCAACATGTATAGTCATGAACATTTGAATACGTTCTTCAACACAATAATAAAATTAAGCATCATGGTGTACCCTTATTTGCTTATAAGAACCTTAGGCGAGATCTAGGTCACACAACATCAACATCTCCCTATAAACTCAGGATAAGTTTGGGTCACACGGTATCGGTACCTTGCCAAGCTAGTCTACTTCTCTAGAGTACTTGGGACGAGTCCGGGTCACCCACATCGGCACAACGTCCAACTAGCATTTTAAGTACCCAAGCACTAAATTGAATATATCTGAATAATCCAAATCCAAATAATCCTTAATGTAATATCCCAAGTTTTAGTAGTGACCAAAATATGTTTTGAAAGTTAGTGGCCAAAGTAAATTTTGAAAAGTTTAGGGACTAAAATGTAATTTTTAAAAGTTATATATTTTGGTAAATGAATAGTTTTTTCTCAAACTAAGAATTTCATGGGAATCAAAATTTTGATTCGGGCTTGTATTAAAAGCTATAAAGTAGTAAATTCGGTAAGAAATCGGATAATCAGATCGAACTGGAATTTATGAAAAATTGAAGGATGTTAGATAGAGGTTGGTAATATTATTTCCATATTCTAGAATAGTGAAATTAGCATGGATTAGCGGAATTGAAGTTAACTTTTCTATTTAGTCAAAATTGAGAAAATTAAGTGATTAAATTGCAATTTTAAAAAATTATATGACTAAAGTAGAAATTCAAATTCAAGTTGGTTCATCTCTGACTATGGGATGTTTAATGGAAGATATTTCAATTGCATGGTTGAAATTATCAAATTTCATTAATAGCAAAATAGTAAACTAGAATTAAATAAAATTTAAATTCATTTAAATTTATAAAGCCTTGTGCATTGATAATGGTGTAAAAAAGGGAATCATCCCTCATCTTCTCCAAAACCGTAAGCCACCATGGTTACATAGGTAAGTTTTCAATTTCATTTTTAAGCTTATTCGATTGATTTTGGGTTAAGATATTAGATAAGATTAATCTACATGAAATTATCTATCATTTGGTATAAAAATTACATGGAAATCATTATTGGAAGATGAGATGGTGATTAGGGTTCATGAATTTGATTTAAGGAAGTTGAATTCATGCTTGAAATTGAAAGGAAAACTCACCCTAATTGTTTATGTAGGTTCGGCCATAGGGAAGAAAATAGGGAAAATGTTGAAAAAATTCCTATGGTCTAGAATTGATATTAAATGTGTTCCACGTGATTTGGAGATTGATTTGAATCAATTTGGAAACTTGAGATGGAAAAAGGGTTATTTTGCAAGTTTTGATAATTGAGGGACATTGATAAATGTGTAAATTGGAGTATTCAATGTTAATTTTAATTATAGAATGCTGGAATTTTAAGTAAATAAGTGATTTAGGATCAAAGTGCAAATTTGGATAAATTTGGTGATGGAATTCAAATAGTCTCAGAAGTTAGGACTTAATTTGAATCAAAGTAAAAGCAATAGAGAAATGGAAAACTATGAAAAACGTTTCTGAATTCGAAGTTTCTTGGGATTAGTTGGACATTATTGGAAATTCGTAAAGAATTTCTTGATAATGGTTTCTCCATTTACTAAGATGCTTCGAAAAGATGTACCATGTATGAATTTAAAAGTGTCAAGGAAGTTTTGATATTCTTAAGTAAATTCTAACAGATGCACCAGTTCTAATACAACCATACTCAAGTAAGGATTATATGCTTTATAGTAAAGCACCTTATAATGGCTTGAGATGTGCATTTGTGTAAAAGACCAGGTTATGACCTATGTTTTGAAACAATTAAAGACTTACGAAAGAAATTATTCAACTTACGATTTCAAGTTAGCAACTGTGGTATTAGTTTTGAAAATTTAGTGCCATTACCTGTACTGTTAATGATATTATATTTACATAGATTATAAAAGTCTGAAGTATTTGCTAACTTAGAAGGAATTAGATATAAGCCAAGGAAGATGAATCAAGCTTCAGAAAGATTGTAATGTGATTATTGAACATTATTCTAGAAAAAGTTAACGTAGTGGTTGATGTACTTAATCAAAAGACATTTCTTGCTAGAGAACTTTGAATGCTTGATTAATTATGAAAAATGATGGTGCATTTGTTATAGAATTAAGTTAGGGCAGGTGCCATCAGATCAGATAAAAGATTTTCAAGGCAAGGATGAGAAATGTTTAGCAAAGATTAAGCAAGAAAAGAAAGATGAACTAAAGACTTTGAAGTGAAATATGATGGATATTTATATCATCGAAGTTGAAATTATACTTCGAATGACGAAAAATTAAAGAAAGTTTTTCTTTCTGAAACTCATTATAATCTTTAACCATGCATTCAGAATGAAATAAAATGTATCAAGACTTGAAGAGTTGATTCTAGTGGGTAGGTATGAAAAGAGATATAAATTGATAGGAAGTGATCAAGTGCCATATGAATTATTCTAACCTATTTCCATTGCTCAGAGGAAATGAGAAAGAGTTACTATAGATTTCATGATAGGTTTACCTTTGACACCTATTGAGAAGATTGAATTTAGGTGATTATGGATAAATTGACTAAGATAACACACTTAATTCCAGTTCGAATAGATTACTTGATAGATAAGAATGTTGATATATATATATATATATATCAAAGATTGAGTGATTTCATGGAGTACTTGTCT